CCGCTGTGATGCGCTGTCCCCAAAGCCAGATTATCCACCTGGCCCGTGGCGCTCAGCACCTGTAAGCCGGGTATCTCGACGCTAATAGGGGCTCATCCTCCGGCTGTCATCAAAGCCTCGCGTAGCTGAGGTGCGCTGCTGCAGATCGCCCTCCGAAACGAGCTTTGCTGTGGTTTTTTACAGCGCTGCATTCGCGTGTCTAAACGCTCGGTCGGTAGATGGCTTCAGGAGGCCCCTCTGCAGAGTCGATCTGGCGGTCGTGCGTGGAATAAAACCCGTTTAGTTGTCAGCCAGAAGTCAGCGCACGTAGGAATAGACGTGAATTGGTCATTGTGACCGTCAGGAAGCGCGGCGGTTCCTAGCCAGCCAGGCTTTTTCCCCGGCGCTAGCAGGCTGCAGTAGCCACTGGAAGGGCCTCATCTAAAATGTCCTTTTCTCAGGAACAGGATGAGCCAGGGAGACTCGAATCCGGCTGCAGTTCCACATGCCGCTGAAGATATTCAGGGAGATGACCGGTGGATGTCGCAGGTATGGCTGGGGAGGGGCGGCGGTCATATGAGCTCGAAGCCCCTTTACTGGGGGGGCTGCTGGGTGTGTGCTGGCTGGGCCCCCTCTGGCCAGTTCCCGTTCCGAGGTCGTAACGGCCCTGCTGCCCCAGAGCCGGCAGGCAGTCGGTACGTGTCTTGTAACGATGAAGCAAAGCAAAAAGCGGCTCCATTGCGTGACCTGAAAGCTGCCCCTGCGAAACCGTTGCAGAAAACGCTCCAGCCGGCCCACTGGCTGGGAGAAATCGCCGACCCCTGTTGTTAAACAAAGCGCAAAAGCAGCGCAGTCCAGCGCGCGTCTTTGCGAGGGAACGACAAAGCTGAACATGGGAGAGGCGAAGCGTCTGGACTGCCCATCCCTGGCTGCGGCGCTTCCTCCTGGGCGGGGAGAAAGAGCCGGCGGGTACTCGCCGCAGTGACCAACCGCTAATTTCTCCGTTCTGTATTTGTTGACTAGAACAGGCGTCTGGCGGGCTGACAGCTTGCGTAGCGGCCCCGAGGTTGTTGCTGGGGTCTGCGGAGGTGGGAGGAGTGTCCGGCAGTTCACAGGCTAACGCAGAGAAGGGTGTCGGAGGGAGGAGGGAGCAGCACGCAGTTCAAGAGCAGGGGGAACTGGGTTTGGGCAACTGTCCCCTTCTGTCCTGTGGCAGCGATACCCATGCGGAACTGTCAGCTGGAGCTTACCTGGCTGCTTTCTTTCAACAGCACAATAGGTTTGTCTTGGACTGCAAAGACAAGGAGCCCGACGTGCTCTTCGTGGGTGACTCCATGGTGCAGTTGCTACAGCAGTATGAGGTACTGTTCAAGAAAGGAGGGAGGGTACAGGAATCAGTGTTTCTCTAATCCAGTAACTGATGGTCACGTGTAATACTGACGACCGCTTCTGTTCTGTTCCGATTTTACTGCCGTGCCTTCAGTTTATTGTCCCCTGCTTCATAACTTCCCAGTGCTCGTACAAAGCCGTGCCGGTTTCTCTCTGTAAGCCATTTGCAGTCTTTCTCTGAAGCCGTCACCGACTGCCTCCATTCTGACACACGTGCACAACCCCTTGCTAGTTCCTCAAATCTCAGATTCCAAACCCGAGGGCACGCCATCAGAACCTCTGTAGGTGTCTCTCATGTGGCTGGAACACGTTTATTAACCCTCTAGCACTTGGGGTTCTGTAGGCATTGGCACGCTGGCTTTTCTCCAAAACTCTGTTGCGGCAAAGAAGAGTTCTCCCACTGTGCCATGGTGGCAGCTGAGCAGCTTTGTTCTGCAAGAGCCGCTTCTGTTTTCTGTAGTTTTGTTACCTGGCGATGAAAAGAATTTCTTCACATCATAGATGCCTTCTTGAGAAGCCCTGTACTTAGGGAAGCTGGGGACATGGCAGTCTGCAACAGATCCAGCACTCTGTGTCGCTGGCGAGTTGGGCAAATAGCTGCTGGGGAGGACTTCCCCTTCCTTTGGGCCAGGGCAGAGCGCTTGAATGTCATCAGCTCCAGCTCTTCTGGACATCCCAGTAAAGCCTCATCCTGTGTTTAAATGCCCTTTATGGAAGTGACTTTTTGGAGGAGGTCTCACAGCTCCTTTCGGTGTCCTTGAAGACGTCATTTGCCTGTGTAGTGTCTCTCTTTCATGGTCAGGATGCTGCTCTGAAATAGCAAATTGATTTCTGATTGCAGATATGGCGAGAGCTCTTCTCACCACTTCATGCGTTGAATTTTGGGATTGGTGGAGACACCACAGGGCACGTTCTGTGGAGACTGAAGAACGGCGAACTGGAGAACATTAAACCGAAGGTATAAGCAGAAAGCCAAACCAGGCAGCCCTGTGCTGACGTAGAAAAGGCTTCGGTGCTCGAGTGGTGCAGAACCGAGTGAGCCGTTACCCTTAAGAGAACCTTTTGTCTGAGCAGCCGGTGGCACTGAGCGTGCGTTGGCTATTGCGATGTGTTTGGCCAAACCAGAGGTGCTTGGGAACAGAGCTGCACCTCTCCTCCGTGGGGTTTACGCTGCTGAATATGCAAATCAGAAGGTGTCATCCATAAGTAGAGGCCGCCTTCTAGTCCTAGGAAAAATGGCGGTCAGGCCTATGATTTACCATAGCTAGGTGTAGTTTGGAGCTGCAGTGTGTCCGTCAGGCCGGACGCGCGTTCTCGGCCTCTGGAGAGGGACGGTGAAGTATTTGTTGAAGTGGTAGCGCTGATGTTCGGGATGCCTGGTGAGGATCAGCTTCCCTGTCCGCGCCTACAGCTGCAGCCCTGTTGCGAGCCTCTTTACTGAAAGCGGTGGGCAGCACGTACCCCAGGTAGGGAGGCAGCATCGCTCGGATTCGAGCCTGCTTTTGGACAGTATAAAGCAAAAAGCAGAGCTGTACGTCTGTCCCTGCCCCTAAGGAGCTTACGCTGTGCCGTGTAAATACGTTACCCTCTTTTTTTGACTGAGGTAGCCTCCTGCAAGTATGTTGGCCAGGAGGCTCTGGAACGGGTGGGCGCAGACACCTCTTGGGCTGTCCAGAACAGCTTCAAGTTGAGTTCTTTGTCTGTACTGAGGGCCAGAACAGAAGCTTGCCAGATGCTATTCAGAAATGGGCGTAACTGTCGGCTGAAGACCCCTTGCAGTCTGGGTGTAGCCTTAAGCCGGCCGCTTTATGTAGCTTGCTGGTCGCAGGAGATGTTGCTACATGCTTTTTAGAGTCTGCAAGCCTGCCACAACCCGTCCCGAAAAAGTTGCAAACGTTTTTTTCCTCCTCGTAGGTCATCGTGGTTTGGGTTGGAACAAACAATCATGAAAACACAGCAGAAGAAGTAGCAGGTGGAATCGAGGCTATCGTGCGCCTGATAAACACCCAGCAGCCACAGGCCAAAGTGATCGTGCTGGTACGTCTCGTGGAGCGCTGTGGAAACAAACCGCTCGGAGGAAGCCCCGTGCTCTCCGTGCCGCGCCTCTGCGATGCTGCGAGTCGGGGATCGTTGCCGGGGAGGGCAGCCTCTTTA